TTCAGGTCAGAAGGGTGGGAGAAAAATGAGAATGTTAGTTTGGGGATTTGTAGCCAGTCACTGGATGACACTAGGAGAAATCAGAATCTAGTCCACATTATAATGAATAGTATTAAAATCTTTTATCTACAAACATGTGTTATTGAAACATATTTTTCTCTATAATCATACCAAACATACCAAATTAACATTAATTTCATTGAAAATAAATCTAGTTGAAGGAAGAAAACTTGGCCTGATTATTTACATAGTGTACCAGGAAGAAAGGTTTGATGGACAGATCATTTTGTTGAACGTTTCATAACGATTCTCTATATTGAACTTTTAATAGCTTCTCTAGGCCAGAAGCCAAGCCAAATATAGGTCACCAGACATTGCCTGTGATATCGATAGATTTGGGTGAATTTCGCTCTTCTTGAGGTCCCCCAGATAACCAGGTTTCTGCACCTATTAGGAAATGATCTTGGGGCACCGAGGGGGTTTAGTCAGTTAAGTGTCCACCTACGGCTCAGGTTGTGATCCCAGGGTCCTGGGCTTGAGCTCCCTGCTCAGCAGGGAGTCTGCTTCTCCCTCTCCTTCTGCCCGTCCCTGCTTGTGTTCTCTCTCAAATAAATAAAATCTTAAAAAAAAAAACAAAAAAAAAAATGGGGAAATGATCTTTGGTTACCTGGTAAGGCTGCTGGGAACTCTGTAAACAAGGTATCAGGCTGATATTTACAAGGGGGTTTTACTGACTCCATAAATTCAGTCTCAGTCCCTATAGCTGTCTCGTCATATGTGAGTTTATGCAGCTCTTTCTGAGCTGTGACATTCCAGTCAAAACTTTGGTAATACAGGGGTGCCTGGATTGCTGAGTCACTCCCCCACCCACACTCGTGCTCACTCAGGCTTTCTCTCAAATGAAATCTTCACAAAAACCCCAAAAAACCTTGGTTATATAACAGTATTTCTAATGATTTCTTGTCATATGGATAACAGATTCTTATGAAATTATGCATATACATATGATGGCATAAAAAATTAAGAATAGTTACTGAGAATTTCTGAATTGGGGAGGAATCAGAAAGGGAGAAAAGATGAATGTTTCAATTTGTTTACAAAGGTATATTTTGTGTAACTACTGCAAGTCAGTCAACCAAAGACAAAAAGTCTCTTAAATCTGTAAAAAAAACAAAACATTTTCTAAGGTTTTTGTTTGCATTTCACTTAAAACACACAAGGTAACATTTGTTTTAGGTTTACAATAGTGATTGTACAATTCCATACAACACCCAGTGCTCATCATAAGGACAATCCTTAGTCCCCATCACTTATTTAAGGCATCCATCTACCCACATCCACTCTGGCAACCATCAGGTTGTTCTCTAAAGAGTCTGTTTCTTGGTTTACCTCTACACTTCTTTTTTTCTTTCCCATTGCTCACTTGTTTTGATTTCTGAATTCCAAGTATGAGTGAAATCATATGGTATTTGACTTTCTCTAACTTATTTCATTTAGCAGAACATTCTCTAGCTCCATGTTGTGGAAATGCCAAGATTTCATTAATTATAGGTTGATAAATATTCCCTACTATATATACCCCACATCTTTATTCATTCTGTAGTCAGTGAACACTTGCGCTGGACTGTTTGAACAGAAATGCTTCCTGCCTCTCACTGTTGGAACTGTTCCTCCAACAAATCCCTGCCATGGGCAGAGCCAGAGCTCGGGACTACACTCATCATGACACTGACTAAAGGGAGGAAGGTCCCACACAGCAGTGCATCACCTTCCCTGAAAGATTGCCCAACTACAGTGGCTCTTACCTTGACTGGGGTTATCTACCTGGGCAACAAGAGCTTGGGTTCAACCACAGCACATGCCTTGCTGATCCTGCCTATTCCACTGTCCAGAAAACTTCATCTTGAACATCTCTTCTGCCCTGTGACATTTTTAAAGCTCTGCACAAATAATTGCATTGCATCATCCAATACCCTCATCCATCACTTGGCACTGATCTAGGCCTGGGGAAACTCAGTAATCATTAACATCCAATATCGTTAGTCCTCAGTTAAGACACAGGAATTCAATCAGTTCATGAAGATAAAGTAGGACTTCGTTACTCCTTAGAAACCCATCACCTTTGCCAATTCCTTTTCCCCGTTATAGGCATTCATCCAATGATACCTGTGACTGCCCTGTGACTTTGTACTGACTAAAGGGAGCCACCTCCAGTTTGCTCACCACACTGGAAGAATTCTTCACATTTTAATAGGTCTTACCTGTCTAAAGATGGTGCTTCATCAAGTCTTGCTTAGATTCACATGTCACATCCCACTGTGAATGTCTGAGTACCCACTGGCCTTCCATCACTCTAATCTCAAGTGTTTAGAGAGGACTCTCTCGGCAAAACACAGGAAAAAAGAATGGTTGTGATGCCTTTGTACGTGGAAGCATAATGAAGAAAAATAAAACTGGAGAAAAGAAGATATTTTCTAAATACAGGGAATCAGTTGTGCACCTTCGGACAGTTGTCCTCCTCCACATGCTAATTCTTCATCTTAAAGATTTTCTATCTCTTACGTGGGCTACCATATCACTCTCATTGGGATAGGTTTCACTTATTTATGGGTTATCAATTACACACCCAACAGTCATATGCACACATATATTTCATATACACATCAAAAAAACACCTCCACCTATGACGTGGGGCACATATCTTTATTTGGGGCCATGGTGAAGTGCTTCAGAATCCCAGGACTAAGTACAGACTAGGCTATTCAAACTAAAGCAGGCTTAGGTAAGCTCTGTGCGTGTCTTCTCTAAGGGACACGGGAGGGGAATGCTTTGGGAAAAAGGAGAGAGGGTTGCTTACAAGAATGGAATGAAGGGGCGCCTGGGTGGCTCAGTTGGTTAAGCGACTGCCTTCAGCTCGGGTCATGATCCTGGAGTCCCGGGATCGAGTCCCGCATCGGGCTCCCTGCTCGGCGGGGAGTCTGCTTCTCCCTCTGACCCTCCTCCCTCTCATGCTCTCTCTGTCTCTCATTCTCTCTCTCTCGGATAAATAAATAAAATCTTAAAAAAAAAAAAAAAAAAAGAATGGAATGAAGATGTCATATCAGCAGTTACATTAACTTGGGACTCTGCAGCGTGTTGTCTTGGGATTCACTAGTGAGAATAGTGAGTGGCTGATGTCATTCAAGGCCCCTGCAAAATACTGCCTACACGAAATGGACGCTAAGTAGCAATAGCATAGAGTACATGAGCAAAAACCTCAACAACACCTCTATATTATACCCCTCTCTAATATATGCATAATAATACCAGAGTTTTCACAGAGAAAATCGTATGACAGACTAGGGGGAAAATAATCACATCATAAAAACCTTAAGATCACTGAGAAAATGGATTCGTAAGTATATTATTCCACACCGTTACCAAATAGATGATACCATCAGTTACCTACAACCTTCAATAAAATGAGATGGATTCACATTGGTGGTGGGATAACATGTCATTCATTACACATCCATGTTAACACGTTAAAAATTATGTTTTGGGGTACCTGGGTGACTCAGTAGGTTAAGCATCTGCCTTCAGTTCAGGTCACGATCCCAGGGTGCTGGGATGGAACACCAGTTGGGTTCCCTGCTCAGTGGGGAGCCTGCTTCTCCCTCTCCCACTCCCCCTGCTTGTGTTCCCTCTCTAGCTGTCTCTGTCAAATAAATAAATAAAATCTTTAAAAAAAAAAATTGTTTTATTAAAATATATTTAAGTTCACACAAAGACTTAGTTATGCATTTCAAATCCACTCTATTATCACCTTTCAAAATACAGAATACAAGCTTTAAAAAGCATTCAAGTGCTGCTATCATGATGTGGGAGTAGTAATTTCCATAGATTTCAGGCCTGAGGTCATTTTTAAGAAAGGTGTTAAGTACAGCTGTATGGCACTCTAGGGAAGAGTTAGCTATCCTTCCGCCCCCCGCCCCCAGTTCTACTATTATTTATTTTTTTTAATATTTTTAAAAAATATATAATTTTTTTACAATATTTTCAACTTAAACACTATTCACACTGAACATGTATGGCAGCTTAACCTACCCAAGTATGAAGTTTAAGAAGCCAAAACTGTTCTAGCTTTGTTAAAAGAAAAGTTGTGCTATAGACTATTGTTGTGATGGTTAACAAAGCAAGGAAAAGCACCACTCAAATCACGTTACCATTACTTTGTTCAGTTGGATTATGGTGGGTCAAACGTTGCACTTCACATAGGCATAGCTATGATGCAGTGACTCCATAGAAGATGCAATTCTCAAATTACATACTTCCTCAGATGTAACATTAGAAGAATTCACTATTTTTTTTTAAAGATTTTATTTATTTGAGAGAGAGAGAATGAGAGAGAGCACATGGGAGGGGCTAGGGTCAGAGGGAGAAGCAGACTCCCCGCCGAACAGGGAGCCCGACGCGAGACTCGATCCAGGGACTCCAGGATCATGACCCGAGCCGAAGGCAGTCGCTTAACCAACTGAGCCACCCAGGCGCCCAGAATTCACTATTTCTTACATGATAAAATACCATCGAAGTCAGTACTAGTTCTCATCTGATTACTACCTTATAACTTCAGTAAACCAAAGATATACTTGTCTATAAAGAATTATTTCAAATTAACTAACAAGGCCTTCTTCAGAAAAAGGAGATCCTTTTTGTTACAAATGCAAATTTAAGTCTGAACTGAAAAATATGCCTAACAACTAGAAAATGTACCCGTTTTTATAAAGTTTAGACATTAACTAGCATTCGCTAACCCTAAGGGACTAGTTTAGCTTTAAAAGACAATTCACTAAGATTTAGAGGTCATTTTAATTTGGTGCTTTGTCACAACTTTACTAGTGCTTCTTTCCTCGCTGTCTTCACATCAAGCCATGGGGCCAATTCTATTTTCAGTAAACGTTTCAGCGAACTCTTCCCTAGAGTGCCATACAGCTCAGTAAAAGTGAAATGACAGCTTAATTCTTAGTAACAGTCTCAGCACTTTTACTAAGCATGCAAGACTAACAAAACTTTGGCAATAAGTGTAACACAGTGACAAGAGAGCTTTTACAATTAAGACTCCTAATACTGCCTTCACAGTGTGGAAATTGTGCTACATCCACCAAAAGAGGGCCCCGTCTACTCAAATATTTGAGTACTTCACCCCAGGAACAAACTCCTTTGCATTTGGATTCAGATTGCTCTTGACCCCAGGATCTTCCAGAGAAGAGCCATCACTGATAACAAGGTCATTAAATTGGTCTTGGATTTGGTCCATAGTTTGTGGGAGATCTTGAGCTGGAATAAGCCACTCACGTTCTTCTTCCTCCAGCATTTCTGGGAAGCAGCGTTCAATAAATTCTTCTTCCCATAACTCCTCTTCTATTTATTGAATTCCTCTTCATTTTCCATCAACATGTACTCTGCAAATGCATTGTCATCTTCATGAGAATGACCCTTAATAAAATCACATCTTCATTGATGATGCTTGGGCTAGTACTGCTGTGACTTGGATCTTTCATGGTTGGCGTTAGTTGTCATTTTCAGCCCAGTGTACGCCAGCGGGGTCGGCAGCCTACGAATCTACACAGGTAGCGCCCCTTCCCCACTCCATGCGCACTTTGCCCAGCGCCTCCCTTCTCCAGTCCAAACAAACCAGCTATCCTCCTTCTGGTGTGTGTCAGGATTTCTTCATTTCAACCACATCACCTCACACTCTAATGATTGCTCTGAAGATATTATCAGTACTTTACTGGACTGCCACCTTTTTCCTTAAAGAGCTATTAGTAAAATCTTCTATTTCTAATGTTCAGGAAGTTCTTTAGTTTACAATACATGGAGTATCGTACAGCTGAATAGCTATTTCATGGTAACTCACATCAATGTTATAACCATAAATAGCATCTCCATTTAGTTTTTCTGCGTATTTGTGTATTATACTGTCCATCATCCATGGAAAACTAGGTATGCATGAGCTCCACCTAATGAAGAAGGGCATCTCATATCTCTCTGGTATGAATTCTGTGATGTCGAGCAAGGGTTGAGTGTAATTTAAAGGCTTTACCACATTCCTCACATTCTTACGGTTTCTGTCTAGTATGAATTTTGTAATGTTGACTAAGGATTGATTGTCTGTTAAAGGCCTTGCCACATTCTTTACATTGGTAAGGTCTCTCTCCAGTATGAATTCTGTGATGTCGAGTAAGCATTGAGAGCTGGTTAAAGGACTTGCCACATTCTTTACATTGGTAAGGTCTCTCTCCAATATGAACTCTGTGATGTTGAGTAAGTCCTGAGTGCAATGTAAAGGCTTTGCCACATTCTTTACATTTGTAGTCTCTCACCAGTGTGGACTCTGTGATGCTGAGTAAGGTTTGAGTGCCCGTTAAAGGCTTTGCCACATTGTTTACATTTGTAGAGTTTCTCTCCAGTATGGATTTGCCTATGTGCATTTAGTGATGAGCAGTCCTTAAAGGTTTTACCACATTCTTCGCATCTGTACGGTTTCTCTCTACTATGAATTCTGTGATGTCGATTAAGGGCTGACTGCCTCTTAAAGGCCTTGCCACATTCTTTACATTTGTAAGGTTTCTCTGCACTATGAATTTTGTGATGTCCCGTAAGGGTTGAGCGTAATTTAAAGACTTTGCCACATTCTTTACATTGGTAAGGTTTGTCTGCACTGTGAATTCTGTGATGTTTGGTAAGGTTTGAGTGAAACTTAAATGCTTTGCCACATTCTTTACATTTGTAAGGCTTCACTCCAGTATGAATTCTGTGATGTTCAGTAAGTGTTGAGTGGTGGTTAAAGGCCTTGCCACATTCTTGACATTTGTAAGGTTTCTCTCCAGTATGAACTTTATAATGTTGAGTTAGGTTTGATTGACTGTTAAAGGCCTTGGCACATTCTTTACATTTGTAAGGTTTCTCTCCAGTGTGAATTCTGTGATGTTCAGTAAGGACTGAGCGAAATCTGAATGCTTTGCCACAGTTGTTACATAGGTAAGGTTTCTCTCCAGTATGAATTCTGTGATGTTTAATAAGGTTTGATTGATGGTTAAAGGCCTTGCCGCATTCTTTACATTTGTAAGGTTTCTCTCCAGTATGAATTCTGTGATGTTGAGTAAGGTGGTGTAGCCTCTTAAAGACCTTGCCGCATTCTTTACACATGTAAAGTTTCTCTCCGGTATGGATTTGCCTGTGTCTATTTAGTGATGAGCAGTCCTTAAAGCTTTTACCACCTTCTTCACATTTATATGTTTTCTCTCCAATTTGCTGATGTTGAGATAGTGTTGAGTGCAAGTCAAAGGCTTTACCACATTCTTTAAAAATGTACTTTTTCTCTCCAGTAGAGACTGTATTATTTATATTTAGTCTTGATGACTGACTAAACATGTTCCCTGGCTTATTACACCTGAATGGGTTTTTTCCCTCATGAATTCTCTGATGATCACCAATACTGGAGTACTGCTTAAGAGGTTTCCCACACTGATTATGTTCATAAGGATTCTCTCCCACATGGATAGTCTCATGTATAGTAAGGTTAGAACTCTGATAAAAGACTTCCCCACATTTATGACATTCACTATGGTTCTTTGGAAATGGAGTCGTCACACGTCTATTAACACTGGAGCACTGGTTAAATGTTCTCTCAGATTCACTGCATTGAGCAATTCTGTCTCCATTGAAAAGGCTCTGGTAATTCTGTAGGGTCAACTCCACATTGTGGCACCTCTCAAATAGATCCCACTTAGCACACTGTTCTTCATTTCTAAATCTCTGATTATCAGAACTATTTGACTGATAGGTCAATCCAATCCTATCTTCAAAATGGTTCAAATCATTATTTTCAGCATGGGCTAGATAACTTTCCCGATCTTCCAAATTTTCTTTCCACAAACATGTATGTTTGAATATTTGATAGTAGCTTTTTCTTGCAGAATCACACTGTTTTTCAGAAACAGCTGACTTAAAAAGGGAGGTTGTCCACATAGTTTTATATCCTTCACCATTTGGGGCAGTGAGTTTCTTATTAAAGGCAGGTGTCTCAGTTTGAATATGTCCTTCATGATATCTCTGATGCCCTTCACTCTCCCCATCATTGTCCCAATCTGTCATTAAGTATAAATTCTCAGGGACACTATTTTTGTATGTCCACATTGACACTTCTTGGAAAGAACCTTCTATGCTTGGCTTTGGCAAGAAGCACTGGGTATGTAAAGATATGCCTAAACGATAAGAAACAAGAGAAAATCATTTCACTTATTATTTTTAGATAAATACACTGATGACTTCTAATTACATGCTTCAAGTCAATCAGACAATGTCAGAAAGATGGCTGAGAAGGAATCATCAGGACTTCATTTATCCATGGACACATAACTTTGCACACAACGTACTGACCATATCCTAATAGATAATTCTGTGGTATTGTCATTTTGTAGCACAAATCACTTTCCTACATCTCAAATAATCAGAAGTGTCACATGAGTGCAAAATTAGTAGAAGGAAGGATATTTAAATGTAAAAGTGAAATGAACCAAACAGGATATAGTAAAAATAGGAACATATCAACAATAAGAAGAGTTGGTTGTCAGAAAAGATCAACAAAATGGACAGCCCATGAAATAAATCAAGTAAGAATGAAAGAGAAAGGACCAACTAAAATGAGAAGTGAAGAAGTAAAAGCAGACATAGTAACTAATACCATAGAAATAAAAGTAATGATAAGAGGTGACAATGGATAATCATTTGCGAACAAAGTGATACCAAAAGAAAACAATAAATATCGGGGCGCCTGGGTGGCTCAGATGGTTAAGCGTCTGCCTTCTGCTCGGGTCATGATCCCAGGGTCCTGGGATCGAGTCCCGCATCGGGCTCCC